TCCCCCGCGGTGCTGCGAATCCTCCCGCGCCGCTGGTGGGGCAGGCGGCTCTGGCTCGTCGGTAGGCGGAGGGATCTGTCCCAGCCTCACCTTTCGCGCTGCTTGCGGTTGGCTTAACCCGTCTTTCCTATGGCTGGGATATACAGCTCTACTCTGAAGACCCTGGAGGATTTAACTTTGGACTCTGGTTATGGGGCAGGGGATTCCTGCAGGTCCCTCAGTCTCTCTTCCTCCAAGTCCAACTCCCAAGCCTTCACCTCTTCTCAGCACAGAGGCAACTGGTGGTACTACTCGGGCTCCATGAACAGTAGGAACAACAGCTGGGATACCGTGAACACTGTTCTGCCGGAAGACCCCGAGGTTGCAGATATCTTTTCCAAGTGTCCTAAGCTGCCGGACCTAGAGGAATACCCTTGGACTGATGAGGACATTGGAAGAATACTCCGAAAAGGGAAGGGAGGTGGCAATACCAGAACCTTTTCTCAGGAAGCTGTCAGGCGGCTCTCGCAGTTACTGAGGCGCGCCTTGATCAGGGTCTCCAGGGAAGCTCAGCGGCTCAGCGTGATGCACTCCAAGTGCACCAGGTTTGAGGTGCAGAGCGCTATCAAGCTCATCCAGAGCTGGTCGTTGGCAGAAAGCTGCGTCCTGGCGACTGTCAAGGCACTCTCTCTGTACAGCATGAGTGCTGGCGATGGACTGAGGAAAGGCAAATCGGCTAGGTGCGGCCTCACCTTTTCAGTGGGGAGGTTTTTCAGGTGGATGGTGGACACCAGGATCTCGGTTAGGATCCATGAATATGCAGCCATTTCCTTAACCGCTTGCATGGAAAACCTTGCAGAAGAGATTAAGGCTAGGGTCTTGGCAAGTCAGAGCCCGGATGGTGGAGGAGGGGAGATCTCAGCTGAAATCCTGGAGATGGTTATCAACAACGATGCTGAACTTTGGGGAGTGTTGCAACCTTACGAGCATCTCATCTGTGGGAAAAATGCTAATGGTAAGATCCAGCTTTTACCATTGCTAATCTTCATACCAGCAAGCTTTACAGTAAAATTGTTGATTTCTGTGGACTTGAGGTTTTTTGGTTTTTCTTTTCATCTGGATTGCATCTTGGTCGTGGTTTGTGTGTGCGTAAAGCAGATGTGATGGATTTACCAGGCAACAGTGATCCTGCCTTATTCTTAAGGTGTACCAGTTTATAAAAGGTGCAGAGGCTGTGGGAAGCCAAGCCCTTGTTGTCTTAACAAATGTCTCCTGACTTTCTACCAGCTTCTGGTTTGAGTGTTTTTACTAGAACTGGCATGCAAGCATGCCACTCTCTAGCCGTAAGACGAAATGTGCTTTTCAAGCTGCTTTGCAGAAAATACCGCTATTGTTTTTAAACAAAATTTATCTTATAGTGAGTACCATGCAGTTTCGTCTTAAAGATGCTATTCCCACATGCAGCCTGGAGAGGGAAAACAATGTTAAATTTTTTTTTTTTGTCTTTGCAGTAGTAAAATTCAGTTTCTCAGCAAAAACTTATAACTACAAGTTACTTAAACTCCTTTCTAGCTTAGTAGAAACCTGAATTGTAATTACACTGGTGCAGTAAACAAGAGCTTGTGCTTGGCTTGCCAAAGTGAGCATGTAGGATGGTGCCTCAGTAATGAGAATAACATAGCATTAAGATGCTTACCTCTGTAATTTGTTTAGAAAGCAGACTTTTTGAACAGTTAAGCAAATAAGCAGATAGAGGAATGTTGGCGTCTTCCGATGAGACTGAGGTGCGATTTGAAAGACTTAAGTCATGACAGTTCTGTTAAGAAGCTGCACTGTTTATTTTGCATTGTCACATTGAGGAGTACCATATTTTTCCATGGAAAACAGAGGAACATTCAATTTGGAAAGCTATTCTGTGTACCACACACAGTTTCGTGACTTTTGCTGGCCTCGTCGTTACGGTCAGATATTCCATGCATAATACCTTTCTGATTTAACTCTTTATAAAGCCAAGTGGCTTGGTCCTCTTCAAGAGATAATCTTGTAACAAGAGACAAGTAAAGGAGCAGATTTTCTTTGTTGAAAATATACCTTAGGTGAATGTTAATAATGAAACGCTTTGTCACAGAAGGGCCGACTCAATTTCTGCTCCTTGGGTGCATTGATTTCCTGCAGTTACCCTATAACAAAGCAATAATGTTGTGATTTGATCACTAGTAGAAAGGTGCAGTGACTGTCCCCATTGTGTCAACCTGGTTCAAATTGCAACGTAGGAGGACAGCAGCTATTACGGTGCTCACAAAACCTCTCTTCTGCGCTCTGTTTGCCCTCTGTCCACTGACAGTGTTACTCAATGTATGTGAAATAACATGTGAGGAGCCCTTGGGATGTGCTTTTGGCCCTGGTACAAGACATAACTGTAACTTTAAAAGTCAGATACCTACTTTTTTAACTACAAGCTCTTAGATGGAAGACTGTAAAGGTATGGGGATGTCTTGTCCTCTGCCAAAACACTTGTCGTGATTCTTTGTGTACCATGGGGGTATTTGTCACCAGGTCCAAAAAGAGGGCTTGGTTCCCTCTCTTGTTCCTTATTCAGGGAAGCTGAAGTAAAATATTGTGATTCTGTAACGTGAAACAAACACTTTAGCTGTTCTCTGTGCAGTGCTCCTGCCACAGGCATTCTGTGTGTAAAATGGAGAGGAAGAGTCGGTCTGTCGCAGAGCGCGCTTTTCTTTTTTTTTTTTTTTTCTTAAGAGAAATCTTCTTGGAAAAATTGCAATGAATGAATGGGAGCTGGTGTTGAATGGAAACAGGAGTGACGGTGCAAGGAAATGCTTATAAATATTCAAACCACCAAATGGTCAGTTATGATAACGCTTGTATAGCGTACCAAGCAGTCACTGGCCACAGAAGGTTTGGCTTCTGTTGCCTCTTTTGTTGTTCTTGTCTTTCAGATCAATTCTGCCAATAATTGAATGCATTTTTTAAGGCTGAAAATTGAATAAAACCTCACATGAAGGTATCCTGTGACTTCCTGTGACAGTCTGTCAGTAGTCTTTTAGCTGACACAAGTCAGTGAATCTTCCAAATGGCTTTTCTTATAGTTGTAAGACCACAAATGGTTCTATATGGATGCAAAAAGCTTGAAATAACGTCTTTATTCTTTTTCCCTCTAGGAATTGTAAATTAGTAGTATTCACATCATTCTCCACAGTGCTTTCAAATGATCTTGTCTTTTACATTCATTTAAATGAGGTAGATCTGATGGTAGAATAACTGGATTTATTCCAGTATAAGGAATAGGAAAACTTGCTTTACTGTAATTTCTTTTTCTTTTATAGTAAGAACATTTTAATGGAGTACTTGTAAATTGCGAACTTGGCATATGTTTGTTGGGTTTTGCTTTATAGCACTGAGTTTGATGCTAGAGATAAAAAGCACTTAGAGGTTAAGTTCTAACACCAGTCAAGCATTGCAATCTCTGGATGAACATGGCAGTGTACTATCCAGAAGATTGTACTGGATTATCATAATGGACCTTTTTGGCATTATGATCTATTGAATACAATTTTCACTATTAGATCAGGATAGCATGCTTCTTTGGAGTCTAAGAAACAGTAAGTAAATACATAAATCTTCGTAAATTCTCAAGAGACTGAGGTTTAGACCTGTATTTCTTCAGTGACTAATCTCCCATCAAAGACAGTAGTCCAGTAACTGTTCTTAAGGCTTTGGAGGCTGAAATCGGAATATTCTGTATTGTAACAAATGTGTTAGTCCACACCTGGTGTGTGAAGGGTAAAGTTTAAAACTCTATAAATGCTTAAGGGGAATTTTAATATTATTTTAAAATAAATAATAATCTGTGGCTTATTTATTCACCCTTTCTGTGAAGCTGTTCTTTAATCAACACTTTGCTGTTTCTGTGAGACGTTTTCTGCTGTTAATGTGAGTTCTGACTTCATGTTTGGGACTTGGTCTTTCTGCCTTGGAAGGAGGAATGCCATCTGAACTTGTGGCCGTAAGGAGTTCTGTAAGGCTCTCTGGGCGTGTTAATGCCTCCAAGGGCAAAGTCTTTTCAGACAGGGTCTAGGTGGGACGTTGCAAAAACAATGCAATGCAAGCTGCAATGAAAATGAAACAAAAGCAGCAAAAATTATAAGCAGCAACTGGAAGGTTAAAAAAAAAAGTTATGTAAATTGGAATACATGTCTTATTTTCTCTTTTTAATTAGATGGAGATCTATCATACACATTGGATTGATATAGCTGAAGTAGAGAATATATCTGGTAGCTTCACAGGGATTTTGAGACACGCTAATCTGGAATATTGGAGTCTATTCATTGAAAATGTTTGGGAGACGAGAAATATGAACTTACCTTGGAAACGTGATTCTTTTAACTTGATGTTCTTATGTTTGACTGGTACATGGCTGATTAGAATCTGAACTGTCAGCACTGCAAATACATTTTGATATTATTGCCTTATTAGTTACAGCATTTAACTTGTACTTAGCTATCTGGTTATTGGCTGTCACAGGAGTACGTGGCAATACACCTGCTGTGGTATTTAATGCATCAGCACATCCTGATGTTCCATAGATGTAAGTGTTGACAGATGTTTTTGCCAAAAAAAAAAAAAAAGTTGTGTGTGTAAATTTAAATTGGTAACACCATTTCTTCACATAGCTCTCAGAAGAAACTCTTGAAGTTCTTTGTGGGCCAACTAATCCACAAATTAGTCTGTTGATTTGCTCAGCTGATGAGTAGTAGAAAAGTAGAGTCTGAAATGTACACCATTGTGTCTTGAAACATTTCTCATAGAAAGGGGCTGAGGGGGGAAAATGCGTAACCTTTCTTCCTCACGGTGGGAAGGAATGATTGGGACTTGATAAATTAGACCAGGGGTTAATTTTCTTCTCTCTGATACTAAACACTGCGTCATGCCCTACCAAGCGTCAAGCATGGACTTTGGATTCAGTATCACTAACTAACCTAATTTTCTTTTATATTTCTCACTGCACTGAGGTAGGTTAAAAGTTACATCTGATTTTAACAACGAGGATTTTTTTTAGAGCTGTGCTGTTATAACAGTTCCTTTTTATAGTTATCAAAATGGTCTGAAATATTTTTTTAATTCCAGTGTAGTCATGGTATTGTACTGAAATCCAGCATAAAAAAATTGACATTTCAATAACTAGAATGCCCTTTCGTTATCTGAACTGAACAAACTGTTGTGCTCATAAAGAGCCTCATCAATTTTAATAAGCTATCAGCTTCACAACTATTCAGAGAAAAACTGCATGTTGGAAGGGGTGCATTTTGGGGATGAGAGTTGCAAATGCAATCAATAAGCTAAGCTGAGTAGAAGTACAAGGCTGGTACAGAAGTGCCGCAGGTGGTTTGCAAATCATTAAGAAAATCAAATGCCCACTTCTGTCTTCTGTGTCATCGTATCTGAAGCAGTACTCTGCAGCAATGTTGATTACTGGGGATTCCAGGGCAGGAATATTGATAGACCTCCATGCACGTTTTCCTGTTGGATGAGCTGGTCGTAGCTATGATACTATTGGAGCTATGGCTTCATTCACCTCCGTACCAGTGTACCCCCAGCATACCTCATGTGTTTCGACTCCCACACATTCAACAACTTGGATTTACATCCACAAACCCACAGGGACAAATCCTTTAAGCCTAAATGTTAGCACTTGTATATACATGCTCACCTCTCCTACAAATGCAAACCACTAGATGCACAATTAAAAATACAAACATCTGCAGATACACATATTGTTTATGTTAAAGGGTTTATCAAGTAAAGCTAAAATGCCTATTTTTTTCCCTTATAGTGGGTTTTGTGTGTGTATATATATATTTCATTTAGTGATAGTAAAGGAAAAACTTCATTAATGAAGTAATAATGCTGTCTGAAATTAATCCTTCAAACCATGGCAATAAAATCTGGGTCCCTTCAATTCAGTTTCTTAAAGAGCAAGTGTTAGAACTCCCTCAG